AATGTATTCATAATAACTGTAATCAACGGTTTGTTACGTCAAGTGATTTGAAAAGACACGTAAAGCATAAACATAATTATTTATGATAACTCATTTAAATTAATCATAAATAATTAGTTAATATCTATATAATAAAGAATAGTTAAGATGTGAACACATGACCCTTCCCTGACCCACACATTTAAATTCTAACTCTAAATGATTTGACATTACATTAGCTATAAAAGTAATTTTAAGAATCCAATTTACATTAAAATACAATTATGATATAATAATATATTTATTTACTAAAGTAAACCAAGTATATATGACTAGTAATTATTTTTATAATTATGGTACAAATTATTTATGTTAAAAACCAAAATAATCTTAATTAAAATGTTTAATAATTTATTATCATTTGTATTAAAATTTTAAAATATTGAATAAATTTTAATTTCTAAATATTGGATAATAAATTATTTATTGAATTTCTATTGAAAATATTGTGTCCAAAACTGATCGCATTCTCTCTTAAAGGGATCGACGAGTGTTTTGCAGAAGTCGTATGGATTCATGTCCTTAACCCGAGAGATATGAATTAAGACATCACATAAAGTGTAAACATATTTTGCATAATTAATGACTTAAACTTTAAACTAAATCTATTTAATATTGAATTTGTAAAATGTTTTGTGACAAAATCTAATTGTTCTCAAACTCATATATTTGTGAAAAATTATTGATACAATTATTTGTAATTTAAAAGTAAGGATAGTGATCGACAATTAGTAATTGTCAATTACTATTCAAAAGCGAATAACCTTGATAATTTCTATTTTGTTAAAATTTATTTTATCTAAAATAATGCAAATTGTTTATACAAATTATAAAAGACAAATAAATTAAAATCAATAACATTAATGTTATGGTAAATATATCTTTTATTGAATAACTTATTATTTAAGCAATTATTATAATCAATAAATATAACATTTAATTAGCTATAATTAGTTGAAAATATGTGTAAATTTTTAATAATAAAATTATTATAAAATTATAACAAAAGTTTGAAATAATATTTTTAACAATTGTTTTATAATTAAATGAAATCAAAATCTGTATTCATATTCATAAAGAATAAATTTTTAATAATCTATTGATAATATTGTGTCCAAAACTGATTGCATTCCCTCTTAAATTGGTCGACAAGTGTTTTGCTGAAGTCGTATGGATTCATGTCCTTAACCCGAGAGATCTTATAGTCTTCCGCTTTGTTCACCAGTTTTGGCCATTTTTTATCACTCGTCGGAACCCTTTATACCACAAATCAAAACAAATCATTAAAGTCTATAACAAACTACTGATCGTATGACTCGAGTCAACAATAAATACCCAGTTTTGGCGAAATTAGTCCATAAAGTGATCCACTCTTTACTGAAAGGTATGTCGAGCTTAGGGTTAGCGCCGGTCCTGAAGAACACGAACTCGAGATCGGATCCGTGGCAGATGCCCATTGTCTTCTCGTCACAGCCCTGCAAATGGCCGCCACTCTGATAGGTCTGCTCCCAGAAGTACAC